GCTTGCTCTTGAGCTGGTACCTTGCATAGTACCTTGTGTCCTGTTCATGATCGAGCAGAAAAGGTCGCAGACAGGGACTGCATTTGAGTAAGAGCTCATATTCTGTGGATCACTAAGGGCCTAGTTGCCCCAACTTGCTGGTATCTCCTTCTGCTGTGACTTTGGAACAGACAACTGCGTTTCACCCCACGCTGCAGCTTGTGAGCTTCCAGCCAAGATGCCAACCTCCTGCTGAGGACAAAATAAGACATGGCTTGCTAGAAACTTTCGACTCTGCTGGAAAGCAGCTCTATGGAGAAGGACCTGGGAATCTTGGTGGGCTGCAGACTGACCGCAAGCGTGGCCAAGACCACCAGTGGGATCCTGGGCATTGCCAGCAGGTTGAGGGAGATGACCTTCCCCTCTACTCAGCCTTGGCATGGCCACAGCTGGAGGGCTGTGCAGTTCTGAGCTCCCCAGTACAACAGATGCAAGGAAGCACTGGAGCAAGTCCAGCCTAGAGCTACAAAGACGATTAAGAGACTTGAGCATCTCTCGTATGAGGAAAGGCTGAAAGAGCGGGGACTGTTCAACCTGGAAAAGGGGAAGACTAAGAGGGAATCTTATATCTGAAGGGAAGGCATAAAGGAGATGGGCCAGACTCTTCTGTGTTGCGCAGCGATAGGATGAGAGGTAACGGGCACAAACCAAAACATGGAAAGCTTCACCTGAATATAAGGAAAAACCTCCTGATTGTGAGGGTGACTGGGCACTGGAGCAGGTTGCCTGAAGAGCCTCAGCCACTGGAGATATTTGAAAACTATCTGGACACAGTCCTCAACAATATGTTCTAGATGAGCAGAGTGGGGAGGCTGGAGTAGATGGTCCCTTTCGATCTCAACCCTTCCATGACCCTGCAACACTGTAGGAGATCCACTAAAGGAAGGAAAAAAAAAAAAAAAAAAGGCAGACCTATTATATTTTTGCACTCTACACTGTACTTCTGCCTGCCCTTCAGTTAACCTTTAGAACATACTTAACATACATTAATGGTCTTCAGCAATATAAGCTTAACATTGATGCAAGACATTTTGTGTTGCATAAGACAGTCTTGTCTCACCCCTGCATCGATAAGGAAAGATTAACTAGGGTCAAAGGAAGTCTCTATACAAAGCATGTTTTGTTCAGGGCTCATTCACACTTCATTAGGGAAAAGAGACATTAGGAAGCAGAGTATTTCCAGTCATCTGTGTTTTAAAGACAAAGACACAATCCTCCAGAGCCTCAAGACTCAATTCTTGAAAAGCCAGAGGTGCTGTCTCAGAGGGGAGCATTTGACCATAATCCCCTTCAGAGATATCTGAAATGGCCTCTCTTCTGGAAGGGAAAAAGGGCCAGTTTGCAGCCTGAAGAATGCCAGGTCTCCCTGTCACTAGATGTCAGTAATATGGCATTCCCAACAGAAGAGTGATGCCTTCCTTCTGACAGGGAAAATATGGAAATAGGCAGTTTGGCAGCATCTCACCAGATGAGATACTGTCCCTGCAAGCAAAACTGGCAGGGACAAGTCTAGCACTACAAAACAGAATGGCAATTATAGCTCTCATAGCATTCAAGGAGATATTCCCTAACAAGATTCCACTACATGAATCTATATTCAAGCAGAAATTCATAATATCTCGACTTCCAAGCACAATCCAGGCTCACCTATCTGAGAAAGTTCCAGGCTCAGATTTTGGCATCCTGAGGCTAAAACTCGATGGCAGCTTTGTCATACTAAAGCAATAGGCAAAAAAAAATAAGTAATCATCGAACCTCACAGCATACTGAGAGGAGGACAGATAAAACAAGACTCATTTCCTACGCAAGAGTCAACTGTGCTGCATAATAAACAGAGGCTGCATTTCCTGTAGCTTTACATACTCCCAAAGCCCAGGCCCTGAAAGAAAGGAAGGGGAAATGAATTTAGAAGAGCTGTTGGACGAGGGCCCATTTCGAGCCCCCGAACGAGCACGGTTCGGCACTGGCAGAGCCGTGTTCTGCCTCAGCAGCTCTGCCGGAGAGGAAGCAGGAAGGTGAAGCCCACGACCTCGCTAATTCGCAGCGCTACCAGCAGCCAGACAAGTCATTTTGCGGGCAATTCCTGCAGCTCCTACGGCAGGACCTTTGCTCGGGGTGACCCGGTGCAGCGGCGCGGGCTGCCCCCATCGCCAAGGGCCGCGCGGGTCTCATCCCCGCGCCCTCCCCCGCACGGCGGACACGGAGCCGCCGCCGCAGAGCGGGAGGCAACGAGGGGCGATACCGTCCCCTCCGCGAGGGCGGACTGCGGCAAGGGCCACCCGAGAGCCGGCCCAGCTCCCCGCCC